AAAAAGTTAAGCTTTTTTGGTATTATAGTTATTGCGATAATTATTGCCATTTCTATTCATTCTTCTCCTATTAATAAAACAATAAAAACCTAAAAATTTAGACTCAAATAACGCTATAAAAGTATTTGACGTGAAAGTAGAGAGAGAATTTGTAATAATTTGTAAAATTTTATTTCTTTTTTAACTAATCCTTAAATTTAAAGTTTCGGCAAACGTTTAAAGATTTTAATTATTCATTAGTTTGTGATATAAATATTAGTCACAAGTATTAGCCGTTTTTAGTATCGAAATCGTAAATTTGAGTCCAAAGTAATGGCTTTGAAAGTCGTATTAATAACATCTTTGATATGATTTATGGACAGAATTTTAATTAATGTCAAAAAAGACGTTTGAATGCATTTACCAACAAATGACAGTCCGTTTAGACTCTCATTACAGTGTGTTTTGTCTGGAATTATGGGAAAGAAATGCTTTTTGGTGTAAACGATGCAAAACTCATCCAATATTTTGTTGCTTCCCTTCGAGTGAAATAAATGTCTCCTAAAAGGAGGAGTCGTTTCGACGAATGGGACGATTAGAGCGCTTGTCAACCGTTTTATTAGATTTGCTAGAAACATTGAGAGAAAGCAATGTTTAAATCGATTTATAGCATGAGAGCACCGGTAAGTGCCATAACTTTTAATGTTTGTCGGAATTGTAAACTTTATGATTACGTCGACTGAGAGTCAAGAAGGAGAACATTGCGATCCTTTCCCTAAGACTTGTGATCCACTAATGTCTGGGCCATCGATAATGATTGGCAAACAATAAGAAATGTTATGTTTAAGACTCTTAGCTCTGAAGAGATAGATAGATAGAAAGGTCGTCTCAATGGATATTTTTCATAATAAATCAATCCTTGAAATTCAAATCTCCCTACTTTCACGTCAAATACTTTTATAGCGTTATTTGAGTCCAAATTTTTAGGTTTTTATTGTTTTATTAATAGGAGAAGAATGAATAGAAATGGCAATAATTATCGCAATAACTATAATACCAAAAAAGCTTAACTTTTTAAAGAAAATATATTCACTTTTAAAAGGAATTTTTAAAAAGTTATGTAAACTTGAAAATGGTTTGTATTAAAGATTGAATATTTATAAATATTTGACAGGTATTTATCAAACAATAACACAAAGTAAATGCCATCTCTTCACTCAATTGAAGGCAATGCTTGTTTGAAGTGTTGTTTAAAAATATCACAATTATATAATGCAAACATTTTATGTACATATTTGTTGATAAATGAATAATAATAATAATAATAATGATAAAATACCGTGCGTTATACATGTATAATGTATCACATTTAATGTTATACAAAATGGGTATTTTACAAATATGCTTTAACATTAAAAGGCTATCAAAACACCAAGCGTGAAAATATGTTCAATTCTTAATGCATTACAATTTGGCTAAACGGAGCAAAAGTATGTTTTATAAATTATTTAAATAGTTTACACATTAACTTAATATTCAGTGAATAGTTGAGAATATTTGGTTTGACAACACATTCCACATATAAATTGAATTTTTAGGTACCGATGCCTGTCATCATTGAATTGACATAACTTTTGATTTGTATTTTGATTATTCTTCTCATTAGAAGAAGTGTACAATTTTTATGCCATATTTAACTCAAACAAAACGTTAAATTTTCAATGAAAGCTGTTTTGGGGAGAACTTCTTTCAGAGGTCCGGTTCATAGAAATTGAAGCCACTTTTGGCTGGAATTAATGTTTTGAAAGTTTTTAAAACATTAATCATTACTGTTGTGGAGAAGAGAGAGTGAGTACTAGAGTAGAGTATGAGTGCCTCCGAAGACTCCCTACAGTTTCACTTCATTCTCATTATTATTGTTGCTCTCTCTCTCTCTCTCTCTCTCTCTCTCTC